ACTGGTCTTTATCTTTAAGTTTGATTTTGCCACATATTTATTATTGTTCATTTTTGTCCTATTTTAAAAACTGAACTAAACAGAATTAAGCACTGAGATTTAATCAATCAAAATACAGGGCAAACATTACACAATAGGATTAAAATGAATGAGTTGAATAATCATTTAAGAAAAAAAAATGTGGGATTACAAAAAACATATGGAGCAATGGGTTGGATATGTGACATTGTTGTAAATGAGGATAGCATACACAAGACATCATGACTTTAAAAATCTACTCAGTTCATTGGCTCTGCAAGATTGAGTTGATGTCAATACGTCAATTGGTTCTAATGATAATGCAATCACAATATATTGTTGGTTCTATAATGAGCTATGTGACCTTTGACCGCATAACCCCAAAATCTAATCAGTTCTTAAACTCTGCAAGATACATACATGACCTAAGTTTGGCAGGAATCCATTGATCGGTTCTTGAGATAACGCGATCACGAGATATATATTTACATACATAATTAACCTTGTGACCTTTGACCTTGTGACTCCCACAAATCTAATCAGTTCATTAGCTCTGCAAGTATAATACATGACCCAAGATTGGCAGGATTCTATCAATTGGTTCTTGAACGGGACGTGCGGGACAACCCCAAAACAAAATGCCTCCGGCTACTTCATAACAAAGGCAAAAAAAGCCATGGCATGAAATAAATTGAAAATGTCAAGGAGTAAAATATACTATTCAATGGTCACTGGCAGGTGGCTATTACATAAAATCAGCTCTCAATTAACATGAGAAAAAGGGGATCATGGGGGACCAACGGGTACGGTTTAAGCATAATTGTTGTCTATACAGAGAGCGCCTCCTGCCTACCAAATTTAATCACTATTACACATTCCAAACTGACGAATTATCTAGCAAGTTCACGTTACAGCATGTATTGATTAAATCCTCAGTATTCACAACCAAGCACACCAATATTACGTGAACAACATCATAGGGAACAGTCTGCAAGGGAATCCTAAGACCTTTTGGTCCTATGTCAAGCAGTGTCGGACTGAGAATATGGAAATCCCATCGCTTAGATCTGACAAAGGCATCCACATGACCAACAAAGACAAAGCAGAGTGTCTAAACTCTTTCTTCCACTCAGTATTTACCAAACAACAGGTTTGTCATGCTCGTATGGAAGGTTCCTCACACTTTCCTGATATCGGCCATCTACACATTCATCGTCAGGGTGTGGCAAAGCAGCTGTCAAATCTCAACCCATCCAAAGCTTGTGGGCCAGATGAACTTCCGCCTAAACTCCTCACGCTTGTAGCTGACGAGATCTCATCTCTGCCACCCAGGATTGGGCACACACCTTACAATGCAGAGGCCAGACAGATGTCATCTTCCTTGACTTCCAGAAAGCTCATCTTCACTTGCAGACCAAGCTCGAGCACTATGGCATAAGAAGAGACACATTACACTGGCCTATGTCGTTACTTTCCAACAGGCACAAAGCAGTTGTTGCCAAGGGCTCCCGTTCATCTAGGATGCCTGTTTGGTGTTCAACAATAAGGGATAGAGCAACGTCGATCTGGCACTGCTCAGTGGCTGCTGGGCTCACGATCAATTGGGCAAAAAGAATTTCCATTTTTGGTTTAACTTAATCAAATAAAATTTGGAGTGGACTTTATTATTATCTAGGGTACCTCAAGATTCGGTGATTGGACCAGCCCTCTTTTTGCTGTACATCAATGACATCACTGCAAATATCCAGTCCCAGATGAATCTTTTTGCTGATGAAAGTGTGATTTATAGAGAAATTCACACTAAGAATGACACCTCCATCCTTCAGCAAAACCTTCAAACTTTCAATGTCAAAAAGTGCGCCTCCCTTACCATCACGAGGAAAAGAACACCCATACAGCATGACTACCAGATTTCCAACGAGATAATACCCAGGACAGACAAGTACAAGTATTTCGGGGTAACCGTAACCAAGAACCTTCGATGGAATACACACTGCCAACTTTTACTGAACAAGTCCAACAAAACCCTTGGGTTACTGCGGAGAACCATGTCACCATTCACTAAGGATGTGAAGTCAATTAAGAGCGTAGACAGCCTTGGTTCGACCGCAGCTAGAGTATGGCGCTGAAGCCTGGAACCCCTACACTTCTCGTGCTGCCGAAGGTCTGGAAAGGGTGCAGAAAACAGCTGCTCGTGTTGTCTTCCGTGACTACCCAAGATCCACGTCTTCTAGCACAAAACACCATGCTCTTTAAAATACAACACCAGATCAGCTAGTCAACATTTGTCTTCCTCACCTCATAACCAAAGCTACATACATCAGCAGAAGAGACCACACACTCAAGCTCTCTTTTCCTGAGGCAACAATAGACTCCTAGAAGTACTCATTTTACCCTCGGACCATTCGCATCTGCAATCAACTACCAGCCACTGCAGTTACTGCCCCAACAGTTGCTGCTTTCCAGATGACCCGGCCCTTCCTGTCAACAGAGGGTTTGATCCTCCTGTAGGTTCCAGAATGCTGTAAACGATATAGCAGCATGATTTTTTACTTGCATGTCACTGTTTTACTGTATATAGAAATTGTACACGCTTTTGTTGTCTGCACCTTCACCTGCTGTCACAACACATCCCATCCCAGTATAGCTTGGAAAAGCTGCTTCAGGGATGACCTCATCAAGTATCAAGACCCAAAATTTGGATACTAATACAAAGAAAACAAGTCAACGCAAAGCGTAGCATCCCCTCGCAGGGTACAAATGGCCTATATACGTCAGAACAAGTTACCTCCATTGGACTATACTATTATATTACTAGGCAAGGAAGTTAACCACATTTTCACATATATAATTAGGTGTTTTTGCATATTTAATGAGCTATGACCTTTTACCTACATACTCCATAATCGAACTAAGGCTGTGTTTTGATACCATGAACCTTCATATCAAATTTCATTAAAATTCGTCAAATATTACTGAAGTTATCGATCGGAAACCAGATGTGTATTTTTTCGCATTTTTAATGAGCTATGATCTTTGACCTGCGTAGTCCAAAAATCGAAATTAGCCTGTATTTTGATACCATGTACCTTCATATCAAATTTCATTAAAATGAAACATTACTGAAGTTATCGATCGGAAACCAAATTTGATACAGACGTACGCACGGAAGGAAGGAATGAAGGACGGCAGCGTTACTATATCCCCTCCGACTTCGTCGGCGAGGGGATAATAACTGTAAACGGCCATTCAGAGTTTTCCCACCAACTATTCTCAATAGCACTTTGTGGTTCATCATTGTTATGTGGGCCCATATATGTATACATTATATGTGCAGTTTATTATTTGACAGATTGAAAGATGCAAATTTACAAAGGAAATTTAATTTTATAGAAGTCTTTCACAGTTCTTCAAAGAACTAAGCTTGTTATGCTTCAATAAGTTTAATTTCATTTCATTTTCTTCAGATGTGTTTATCGGTGCTGATTTTTAGCAGATACCAATATGGCCCAATATACCAATAACCCATATGATGTCGAAACATTTTACTGCCTGACCTCTCAAGTGAACAACGTAATCTTCACATGGTTATACATGTACGAAGATGCATTTGGATACCATAGGGTATCATCATGTAATCATTGTAATAACAAATAATTATGGATGGATGGGGACGGACAACCTGAAAACTGCCTTTGGCACCACCATCTAGCAGAGGACATAAAAATAACCTTGCCTATCTTATGCACAACCACAAGTGCAGGTCTTCAATGTTTTTTCTATCATTCACGTCCATACAAATATACCATCCTTCTCCACTACTTTCTCCAATTTGGGCAACTTGGGGAACTGAATTCACATTGAAAGCGACTGTTCTGTAATTGATTCTCCTTACCGGAGAGAAGGTTTTTGTACAGCTTTGTTAAAATCTGGAGTGCATTTCTATATCAGAAATTTACATGCTGGTGAATTCTTGTATTTAATACAGGTTCTGACTTGCATGAGCTAGAATCTTTACTTTCATTGCAACTGGAATCCAGATCATGGTGTGTGCCATTTAAAGGGACTTGGTAACATTGTTCAGATCAGACAAAATAGTGCTAATGTATTGACTTCAATGCTAGATGTACAATTAAAGATAATCTGAAAGTTTGAGTAAAAACGGACCATTATTAAAGGGATAGTTGAGTTCTGTTGCAGAGGGCGCTACACAAAATAATTTTGTTGTGAGATAATGAAAAACTGAGTGTCAAATTTGAAAGAACAAGATATTTAAATGACAAAATCGTCTTTGTTTGATCAAAATCGGTTCAGAGGCGGCCAAAATATCCATAAATATAACCAGTTCTAATATTTGTGTACCAACACAATTATTCAATAATTTGAAAAAAACCTTAAGAAAACAAAATAGCGCCTCTTACGTTGTATTTCAGCCAATGCCGATGTTGGCTTTTTTGTTGAATTTTTTGTGTCGGTTATATTTTGCACAACCAGCAGGCTCATGTATTGTTTTTTTCAATTAATTAATTAATCAACGGTCACCATATTTTTTTTAAGTGGAGCTAAATTGTATGATCGTATTGGCTAAATTGACACATTTTGGGGTCTAAAACTACCTTCATAGCAATTTTAGGTCCTAAAAGGACACTAAAAATGTCATAGATCAGAATAAGAGCAATAACCATGTACTATGAAGGCATTTGCGTTCTGAATGCAGAACTCAACTATCCCTTTAATGATAAAAATTGGAGAAAAACTGATCTGATCGATTCCTTAATTCTCCCAACTATATTATTACAATTTAAAGGCCCACTGCACTACTTGTAGCTACTTGCGCCCTCTATATAACAAACAATGCCTAATCGGTGACCATTGGTCCCCCATGATCCTCCTTTTTCTTATGTTAACTGAGAGCTGAGTTGATGGGATAACCACCTGTCTAGTGACCTTGCAGGGCGGTCTAATCCCTCCTGTAAACTACGGCAGATAAGCTTTAATTACATTTTAGGTGAATGTAAATCGTCACAAAGCAATGAATTGGCTCTATATAGATACCATTCCAGACATATGTAAGTGCTGACAGATTTATAAAAGCCTATATTATGTCTTATTTTCATGGAAAAACGTTTGAGAAAATTCAAAAATGGTTGGGAGAATTTACAGTTAATCACTGTTAGAGAGTGTTGCACAGTGACGTCTTCATAGAAAACCTTAAATATCTTTGTGGTTTAAGAATTTTCGCAGGATTTTTGGCCTGTTAGCGGGTAAGTCCAGTAGAAGGAATATAACAAGTAACATTTCATACAAAAATTGCAGAGAACAGCACAACTGCATGTGATAGATGCTGCCTGGCCTTCCATACTCCCTCTTCCTTTAGAGTCATGAGTCCTTTCCTCTGTGTCTCTGTGAGCAGAGGAGTCACAGTGTATCTCCCAGCAGTCTGTGTGTCAAAATGGGAGGAAGGTGGAAAAGACACTTTCATTATCAATATCCAGGACAGTGTACCACTGGGTCGTACAAGTGTAGGAATCTTCATAGATTTTCTTTTTCTTTTAATAACTTATTCTGGGTCTAATATATATCCACTTCAAAGAGGCAGATGCTGCACACAAGTGGAAAATATGTAGCACAATGTTCTAAAGCCAGTCTTAAGCATATAATGACATTAACCCCTCTGATTTCCTGATCATGCTGATGAGATTAATGAATTGTTGATGCTACTTTCTTGTTGTCGAAAGTAAATGTACTGGTCATATAGTTTTTTTAAAAATCATTAATGATGTTCTTTGTGAAAAAATAGTATTTTTTATTACTTTTCTTTGAATAGACAATCTTGGTGCTATCAGGTACTTAAAACTGTACTACCAACTCTACTTATATTTGAAAAAAGAAGAGATTGTTGAACTTGCATATTTCATTTATTTTCTCTTCTTTTTGGGGCCATTTTCAACACCATCATACATTTCAACCAGAACAGCCAAAATAGTAATAGAAAGAAGAAAAAAAAGATACGTTTGCTGATTTTGGAAATGGTGCTCTTGAACCCCAATGTTAGGCCCTTAGCTAATGTGAATAATGGAACATTTGCATCCCCTGCAAATCATTTCTAACTAGTTTAATTAACAAATGAGGGAAACGCTCTCGGCAGTCTCGGCTGCATTACGCAATTTAAATTGATGAGAAATTGAGGTTGGAACATTACTTATAGGCAGGGTGGTCCATTGGCAGGCCCCATAAAATGAAATATAATCAGCATTTTGAAGTGAATATTGACTAAGAATCATCAGAAGAATCATTTACTAGTAATTGTACAACGATCGATAACTTGAATGAAATACGAACAAATTATTTAAAAAAATTGATTTATCAATTCTCATATTAAGTTGTGAAAACATAATCCAAGTCTACTGGCCTAAAATGACCTTTGACCTTGTGACCTGGAATTTGTGTCATATGATTCGTGATACTTGATAACCCTTGGGTACAAGTTTCATGGAATTTGAACAAACAATTTTGAAAATACATGTATGCTTAAAATTCAAAATCTTGATGTTGATGCCACAACAATGTCTAAGTTTGTTGATCTAAAATGACCTTTGACCTTAATTTAGTGACCTGAAATTCTACTCACATGATTAGGGAGACGTGATAACCCTATAGTCCAAGTTTCATTGACTAAGAACTTATACTTTAAAATTTATATCAAATATTCAAAAACTTAACCTTAGGTTAAGTTTTCGATGATGACGCCGCCGTCGCCACCAGAAGAGCGGCGCCTATGTCTCGCTTTTTACTACGCAGGCGATACAATAAAACCATGCTTGTTACAGTATATGTTAAAGTGGCCTTGTAAATGCATTCCGCAGAACACTGTCACTGAGCTTACACATTTGTTTTCTTTTCCCTAAAGGATGATCTCTATGAAGAAAATTCTGGTGTATGGAAATTTGAGAAACAAAAAGCACAATGGACAAAGACGGAGTAAAAATACAAACCTCAGTACGATCAGAAGTGTCCTCCATTTCTTCAGGGGCACGGCTGGCCAGGGCAAATTTCTCCTCCTCTAACTTAGCTATCCTTTGCTTAAAGTACGTCAGGACACTCCTCATCTCTAAGTGTAGCTGAGTCTCTTCCTCCCTGTACCTGTGGGTTAATACCCACAGGTCCACCATCTGTTTCCTCACCTCGTAAGGAACTGCTTGCTGCGATGACGAACCATCTGATATTAAATTTGGAATGTAGATGGAAGAACAGTGTATACTTTCATAAGGTATGAATTACTGGTGGCATGAATTACTTTAAATTTTCTATTATCAATTCTTTATAAAAGGGTTCATTTGTGATTAAAATATACATCCTGTGTATTTTGAGATTGATTTTGTTTTTGCTCTTTGTAGCCAGTATATCTGCTGCAAAGAAAGTGTCAGATTCATAAAGACATTATATCTTCTAGAGAAAGAAGTAAATTCCTTGTAGGGAAAATTTCTCAGATGTTTCCCTTGATCTCTTAATATATGAAATAGATCTTAAGTAAATAAAAAAAATTCTTTACATTTTTCCTTTGTTGGAACCTATGCAATTACCACAAACATAACGTATGAAGAACACAAATGTTACACGACATATGACACTGGCTTACCAGAGTGCCATGGAAAATTTCCATTGATGGCATCTGCCGAAGACAAAGTTGCCCCACCGGGCAATGCAGCCAACCTTGCCAGCATTTCTTCAAGTTTGGACTTTTCTGTCGCATTCTTCCGTCTCAGGCGAGCTCGTTGCTTACAGCTATCTGTTAAACAAGCCAAATTATGAAATAATATAAAAGGGCACATGTCACATTAGTAATCTTTTATTTTTATTATCAACTTAAACACTGCAAATACATTGTATCAGAAGCAGTTCATTAGTCAACATTGTCATTAGTAGAACAGTAGATATATTTTAATGCAATTGTAATATTGTACATTATTATAATAGTTTGACCAATACAATGCAAGGCTATTTCTTGAGCTTAATTGTACCAAAATCAAAAAGACTAAAGCCATTGTTTAATAATGTTTCCAATTTTAACATGTCTGCGGTAGATGGCCCTACATGCCATCAGTGTCTCTGGTATTGTGTAAAATTGGAGCCCTGAAAAAACTGCAGTCCAAAATGAATATAACCGGTGGGTGCTTTGAATAGGGAAAATCTATGAGTGACCAATTTTATTATACTCATTTTATCCCATAAACATTAGTGCAAGAATATAGTATTGGTGTAACCCTTAAAGGGGAAACCCACCAGGATTATTACAGGATATCATCTTAGTTTTAATAAAAGCAGAAAATGAGAGAAACATAATAAAAGGAAAGTCATGATTTTTTTTGCAAGGTGTGGTCAATCAAACACAAATTGGCAACACTTTCGGATATCTTGCAAGCTCTGTACAGAAAATGTCATGTACTCTAATTGTCTAGATAGTGGCAGCATATTTTTTTCCAGTTATAAATTCTGGTTGTATATTCAACCACTTGAATAGGAGGCCTCCACCACTTCACTTAATTACATATTGCAATAATTTTGCCATATATGTACATGTGTAAAACTTTATAATCATTGTTATGTATTTGGCATTACTGCCTGGGTAGGAAAAGCAAACTTGATCAATGACTATCAGGTCTCATTACTAGGAAATTCATTGTGTGTGTAGACCATTTCACCAGGCTTTCCCTAGCTCTTTACGAGCAGTACATGAAGTGGGATCTTTAACTGTGTGGGTTGTGCCTCTCCCACACATGGGAACTCCATTTTATGTCCTATCTGAGGGATCACAAATGAGTGTTTTGCCTCTAAAGAGTAGGGAAGTATTAAAGTTAACACATAACGCAGGCATCCTTAGGTCCACATGTGAATCGAACCTAGGACCTTGAGTGTCTGAGATACTAGACCATGAGGAGCCAACTTGCCTTACCGTACTTCCAATTTTCATTATGATTTGGACACTCCGAACACAAGTTGTAGCTAGGCAATGGCAATCTAGACCAATGTCACTAATTTTTCTACCTTTGACATTGGGACAGTTTGTCATCAACATATCATACAGTATCCTAGAAGTCAAATAAGATGAAAACTTGTCCAAGGCTTTTACTGCAATTTTTTACAAGAATTAAAAATTTGTTTAAAAAAATGTCATGTATTAAAGCTTAAAATTTTAACAAATCTTGTATAAAACAAGAAGGCATTATCATGTATATAGTTAAGGTTGTATATTTAGTCCTTTTCGGTTCCTTTTATGAACTGGGTTCTAAAAATTAAGTTCCATTCCTGGTATTTATATTGGTCTTTTCTGTTTATTGGATTCATTATTTGAAGATGTAAATAGTTATGTAAATATATCTATCCATGTGGGTCAAAGGGCATACTACCCTGCAATGAACACTTCAGAGCACTACCAGACTTCATTGAGTCTCAAAATCAACAGTCAAATTCCAAATGTTACATGAGGAACATATAATCTATAAAAACAAACATGATAGAAAATATTAAATGTATTGTTTTGCAGACTCATCTGATAGAAAAGTTTAATTATGCTATAGGAAACAATTAAGTCTTCTCACCAGCAAATTTGGAGATAGCTACTTTCCTCTGCCGAATAGAGAGTGCTACAGCTTCTATATCATTTTCTGTAGCATCTATGTTGGTCTCTACTGCAGCATCTAAATAAATAGGGCGACAATCAGACAATACATTCAAATAAAATTAATGACATAAGCACAAAGGTAAAGCTAACATAACATAAAAGTATTCAGACTGAGTTTTACTCTCAAATTGGTTTTTCAAAGTATCTGTATAAATACCTTTTGCTCTGCGCACAATATCTTCCTGCCAGTGTCGAAGGTCATCATCAGATACATCTTTGCCAAGAGAGGTGCGGTGAGTGGCTAGCTGCTCCTCTGTCACTTTGATGTACTCAACATTCTGTTTAATAATCATAATAGAACTGACATAATATAAATTGCTTCCTTATTTGGAATATGCATCATACTTTTTCTATTTGGTGCCTTTTAGTTTCTTTTGAGGTTTTAACATGTATCTCTTTGAATGACTGCTATGCTCAACAAGTGACCGATAATCCTGCTTTAAATATATATCTTTATATTGAAACCCATTTATAATTTTGTGCCTAAGTCTGATCATGTCAAGATTTAAGTTTCATACTAGAACGATAACTTTAGACATTGCCTATTTGTAACTATTGTCCTCTTCCTGCCACTATTTTTATTTTAAATACTATTTCCGGAACTATTCTATTCCTTTATTTTCTTTCATTACTAGACTACTTGGGGGAAAAGATACATTTATCTGATATTTCTAAATGAGATGGTACTTCCCGCTCATCCTTCACAACTGTTATCCTTTCCCAAAAGTTTTACTTGGCAACTATTTGCCATTTTCCAAATTGTGATCATTAAAAATGTTACTGTCTGTAAATGTAACATTTTTGGCAACTTGGGATGCTTACATATATTTACAATCTACTGTAAGCTTGTGTTTCATTTTTCCGTAAAGTCCTTTGTAATGCTGGTGGAGGGGATAAATGATGAGTCATGCCACAAAATGGGTTCTAGGGCAATAACCCCCTAGACAATCACTCCCTGGAAAATCCCCCCTCCCCCCACCCCTCATCCCTCCCACCCTTTTTTAACCCTGATATAACAAGATAATTTCATCAGTCCCAAGGACCTTGTTAGAGTTTCCACTGTATAGATAAATACAGGTGTATGGTATGTAATGCAGTGTATTCATGTTTTGCATTACCCGTTTATATCGCTTGCACAGCTGTGGCGCCATGTTGACAGCTTTTCTCCTATTCCAGAAGAGAACATGCTCAGTGATGGTGTCCTCTCTACCTGTGATGTTACCAAAAAATAACTATTAAAAGTTGAAGAGAATTTGAATCTTTGTCCATTTCATGACTGGGACTAAACACAAGATTAAACCCTTACTGACCAAATTGAGTCGTGATCGCAAATTTCAAACATTCATGATTTCAGAATCTATTTCTGAGGGTTCAGTATTCTCCGGTTACAACTTACATTTTCTCTCCAGTACACTTTGTATGAACGCTTATCAAAATCATAATAAAAATGATAGAATAATGACATTGATAATAATGATACTAATACAATGATACTAATAGTTATGATTATAAAAGTAGTAGTAGTAATAATAATAATGATAATGAAATATCAATGAAGATAATACCCAACGGATATATCTTTTTTTGTCTTTTCAAAATGTTGTTTTAGGCATACATTTTCATTGTGCACAAAATTTTGATCACACAGCATTTGTAATCAAAACATTATTAAATTAAAGATAAGATACTTTAAATCATGTAAATTATAATTCTTTGCCATTTCATGCAAATTGATATCAATCTTCTTCATTAATAATTTTTTTAAAGAAGAAAAACCAGACCTGCATAGGACATGTTCTTGGTAGTAGAGCCAAGCCGTGATAGATGGGAAAAGAATTGTTCCATGTCTTCACCTGCTCCCCCACAGGACCCTTCTTGGTTCCGACCACCCCATATCACCTTCATAACAACAACAAAAAAAATCAATTATGTTTAGGTAGAATACAATTAAATGACATGACAGATTACAAAACTTACTTATCCTTCTCATACTCTGTACACTTGCATCTTCCATTAACCCTATTTTAACTGGGCTATTTAAGGCCCGGTTTTTACTGGGGGGGGGGGGGTCAAGTTGACCCCCTCCCCGTGAAAATTTGCATGCATGTCAAGTGAAGTGTATAGAATACTATGGTAATTTCAATTTTTTGAAAAATTCACTCATTTCCATCTTTAAAGTAATTTATGCAAATAAGGTCATCAAATTCACATTTTTACCCATAAATCATATATTTTTCATATTTAAGCACTCTTTTTCACTACATATATTTGTTAGACCATTTGGAATAATAATACAACACAAACAATTGGAAGAGCCAGGTTATTCCTTATATTATCTCTTGTCTTGATCATTTTCTTATGTATTTCATTGTTTTTTTTAAACTTATGTATTTTATGTTTTTGTTGTTTTATTTATTTGTAACTACAATTCAACTATTTTGACCCCAATACAAACATTAGCAAGACTAAATAACCAATGTTTTATCTCTTTTTAGGAAAAATGATATTTCCATGTGTTTCGTACACAAATACATAAAATGAGCTGTAACTGGTACATGAGCATTTGTCTACATCAATAATTTCACAACTTGTAATGGCCAATATGAAATTGATTGAATCTTTGTGCAGCACAACACGTACGACCATTCGGTAAAAGGGTCTGAAAATCAGATTATTACTACTAAGGTGATTATATTCACTTGATTCATCAACTAATGGTTGTTATTTTCCTGCAAAAGGCATTTTGAGGGAAGATTTAAATAAGTATTGTCTTTCAAATGATGTTGGAATTTAACCTTTTCATTTTTTTGGACCCGCAAATGGGACATAGTACCTTTAAGTTGAATGCTAAAAAAGAATCTGTTCTACGTCTTGCAAACTGGAATGACTTACATTTAGAATTGATTTGCATTGATACATATTTTAATGGCTAAATATGACTTTGATCTACCAAATGGATGTGTATTTATGACCAAAATCTTCAAAATTGTATGCACAAACAAATTATTTGACTAGTCAACCATCACAATTGTCTATGGAAACCCATACCAGTACTTACTTGACATGACCACTGGTGAGCTTTTGCATGCATAACTGAAAGTGCAGGCTTCATGACCTCAACTGCCTCAGCATAAGCAGCATCTTTGGCCCCTTGTTTTTTTGCCCATGGCCAGTATTTGCACACTACATCCTGCCACAAGAACTTTACCTTTAGGGGCAAAAGAAATTTGACATGGATGTAGTGTGGATATCCATACTGCTCGCCAGTGAACATGTTGACAGCTTTTTGGGCAACAGCATGTCGACATCCGGCCACCTCCAGGCCACATTCATCAAGCTTGTTTCGTGCTTTGGCCGAAGATTTAGCCGCTCTCCAGTGGGAGTTGCCACAGGTACTTGTGTCTCCCTACATGCATAAGAATGTAAAATAGTCTTCAGTGAGTATGGAAGATGACATTGAAGAAGAAGAATGATTTACAAAACTGCACAATATAATTTACATTTGAACTTACATATCAAATGAAGAAAACTAGGGTGGGTGACAGCTTTAATTGCAGACCTTTTACAATTTAAATGATTTCAACAAATTTGCTAATAAAAAAATATTTAAAAAAATTAACTGGGACATAGCAATTTTTATTTTAATTCAGGGCTCGCTAAATAACTTTATTCTATACCGGTAACCCCCCCAACCAAGCCCAAATAAGATATGCTTTTGCTCAAGAAGTAAGCCAATAAGCAATATTATTATCCCAACCAACAAAGTGTAATGTGGATTTTTTGTTTTATTTGGAGTTTGTCTAGAGATTAAATCACTTCTGCCTTCAGGGTGTGCTCAAGCCACACCTTTGTACAGTCTTTGACTGAGAAATTGTCAAAAGTAGTTTTGAACTGCATTAATATTGAAAAAGGCTGCCATGTCTAGCAATAAACATGTATGTATCATCTTAAAATATATAGAACATTCCAAATAGATTTTTAATATCCAAAACAGGGAAGTAGCTCTGAAATCTAAATTACGTGTAAATCAAGAGCTAAGACAAACTCAAACTAGTGTTGAGTGACGGTCATTTTGACATTACATGTATGTTCCCCATGTCTGGGCACCATATATGGTGCATTACCATTATACCGTCCCTTGAACACAGTGATACAAATTTAAATACCCACTGATATTGCATATATGGGCTATCAGCAAAATTGTAAAATTTTCACTAAATTTTATATTACCGGTAAGTCCAAAAATATAAAAAAATCATTTGGTTGTCCTCGATTGCTTTTCTGGAGTAGGGGCGGGCGGGCGGATTTTTTTAAAATTTCATCTTTAGGGGGGGGGGGGGGGGTCTTTTTTTTATCCCCCCCCCCCCCCCTCCCCCCATTTGGGGAATTTTTATTTAAATAAATATTTTTCCATAAAAAAACAAAACATCGTTAGGATGTCAAGTATTTAAAAAAATAAAGTCAATAAAACACTTTAATATGGTAAAAGACTAGTATAATGTACTATGAATATCAACACCAACACAGAAAGTATGTTTGGCTTGAAATACAGCACCTTTTAAATCCCCACTGTACTACTTGCGCCCTCTATATAGCAAACAATGCCTAATCGGTGACCATTGGTACCCCATGATTCTCTTTATCTTGTGTTATATTAACTGAGAGCTGATTTGATGAGATAAACCACCTGTCCAGTGACCTTGCAGGGTGGTCTTATCCCTCTTGTAAAGCAATACAGATGGGCTTTAAAATGAGTCGAAGAATGCTCAGAACCTGATTTGAATGAACAGCATTTTGACATAAAAAAATATAAATGGCAAGTTTAATACATACAGAATTGCATACTGAAAAGACCAAACTGGCAAGGGGACGGATTTTGATCCTTGCAACATGCATGAAATGGTAAGTTTGGCGTTTAAGATTGCCCCCCAAAAAAATTGAATAAAAAAATTATTTAAAAAAAAAAGGCCAGCGGCCCGAAAATGACGAGTGGGCGGTCGAGGACACCCAAAATGTTTTCTTTTTGGAAGGTGGGGGCCTTATAAAAGTTCAATGATCTTTGACCCCTTTTGTTTCACCATATTTGTTTACCTTTAAATACTTTGATTTTATCACCATTGCAAATTCCTAGCTGAAGTACTAGTAATGGCATATACTGCATATACCCGTAATTGGCCAAAATGCAATGACATTAGACCTTCAAGTCTGAACTTTGACCTCTACAAGTTTATGAATATGTTAATCTATATCACCTTCTTTTGTTTTTGTTACATATGGACATTCCTAGCTGACGTCACGGCTACATAACAGAATACATAACAATTTGCCTGTGACTAACATCATGTCATGAAACTTTTACTCTATCCTACCAAATTGCAAAACCACTAGACATTTCTTGCTGAAGTTTGGTTGGAAAATTACATTTTTGACATCAGCCAAATACGAAAAAAATCCAAGCTGGGATTCTCTTGATATCGTATAAACTAGGTTTAGGGTGTATACATGGATAAGACGGATGGACAACCTGAAAACATAATGCCTCTGACCCCCCCCCCCCCCCCCCCCCCCTTCAGGAGCAGAGGTATACATCTTTTTAACCATTTTTACCTGAGAGGGTCTTCTTCGGTCATCATATACAGTATCCATGTGTCTGTTGACATCTTCAGCAGGTGCAATAAAGACATCTTCATAGTATGGCTTTCTACTTCCCCTAGATATTCAAGAAAAAACATGCATTTAGATATAAGTAGGCGCAGAAAAGTAGAATTTGTACACAGATACAATCTTACATACAAGCTGTGACTTGCCTGTGGCCGCCTGAATACAAGAATAGTAGAATAAAAGGGTCACTATCAAAGACATTTTTTACACATACATAGCCTCCTGGTTTATAATCTATTAGGACTTGGTGCGGCAGTACTGTGTCATGTTTTGTTGGTCTTTGGTAGGAAAAGAGATTATTGAGGTGTAGAGTTGTGTCTAGGCTGTAATATTTACATACATACATACATATTATCTCACCGAGGCACTTTACTGTAGCGGTAAACCTTAAAATTCCCATCTACATGAGCTGAATGTTGGCCAGAACTACAAGCTGGACATGTCATCCCATCTGTGCCCTTCACATCATTCAAAGCTTGTTGGCAATATCGATACTCCATAAGAGCTCTTGTCAGGGCTGCTCTGCTAACGGCCTTGTCCTGTCAAAATGAGTAAATAAACACAAATGAATGAATGAATTCAAACATAATAACACCATATAAAGGTATACATATATAAATCTACAAAGGGAAATGATATGCATTTAATCTCCATATGTGGAGCATTGATGTAAAAATACCCAGAAACACTGTAGGAATCTCAAATAAAACTTATATGTTTGAAGGGTAATCCAGTTCTTTGGTACTTGGTTATCAATATACTGCTTGATTTTGAGCTTTTACAGTTTGCAAAGAGAGAAGTTTACTTATTCAAGTGCAACTTGTTTTCACATTATCTGTAATATTAGCAATCCACAATTGTCTAAATCATTTTTATACATTGGATATGTCATACTGAAATAGTTTCAGTTCATTTGTATCCCTCATTCATTCAACTCTCTTGCATGTTTCGTTCACATGAATGTGTAGCCTCAGAAAGATTTTCTTTACAATGGTACACCTATACATATCAACAGTCAATTCACATACATGTGAATTTGTACATGTAGCAGTCAACTTTGGTGTCTATGTTATACTCTTTGCAGCTTGTTTGTTGTTGTGTTTTTTCCAGTGTATCATGGATTTGCGTATTGCATAACTTTTGATGCACCATAATAAGTGTGGCAAAGGAGGTTACAACGGTCTAGTACAAAATGCCCAAATGGGAGAATGTAGTATTTGCAATGTACCAGTAACTTTGTGTCTAACTGAACAATATCTTACTTTTAAAGACAAGGAATATTACAGCTTATTTCTTTGACATGCATGATTTTCCATTGCAAATTGATAAGATTAAATTAATTTTTAAGTGGGTTAGAAGCTATTGAACTAGGATGACTTTAGGTAAAACAATATTTTAAAAAATGATATTATGTAAAACCTAAACAAGGCAGATGTTGATCAGATACAGGATTGTTTACTTCTTAGTTGAAATAGCATAGTAGTATACTCAACAGATTCATCAATGTCTTGCAGGGCTTTAGCAATTGATGACAGAGATGTCCCAGGCATATTCTTCATCAGCATATCTATAAACTTCAAGAGATCTGCCTCAAAGATGTGGACAATTCTCCGGATTGTTGCAGGCCAGAACCCATTTGCAACTATCGTCTGTAACTCTAGCTTGGTGTCAACAAAATTACAGTTCTGGCAGTAGACTTCAGCTCGTGGGATAATGCGGCGTCCTGAGAATTAGAATATTCCAATTTCAGTTTGTATTTATTTGGGAATTAGTCATTAAACCTTGCTTGTTTTAAAGCCCAAGTCCACTCCAAAAATAATTTACTTCCAATAGAAGCAGAAAAATCAGACTTCCTAATCAAAATAAGTCTGAGCAAAATCGGGTAACTAATAAGAAAGTTATGAATTTTTAATGACATTAAAAACTTTGAAAATCACTAGACAAATTGGCAACTCACTCATGAGTCTGTGATGTCATGTCCTCACTATTCACTAATTATTTTCTTTATGTTGATGATATAAATTTCCTATTTTCTCTTTAAGAATCTTATTTCTTCACCTCAGCATCCAAGTAAGATTAAAATAGTAATATGTTTTGTGTGGACGCACTAATATAGAGTAATTTTTCAGTTAAATCATGAAAAATTTGAATTTTGATAAACTATTTGTATAAAAATCAATAATTATGAATATAGAATATTCAGAAAATAGTATAAATTCTTCAAAGTTCATAAAAGATTTCCTGAAATGTCATGCACGCAATATGATACAAATCATATAACCTGGGCAAAGGCATGGGGAAATCAAATTTTGGGGAATAAAAAGGGAAATTAATTGGATTAAACTATATAGAGCTATTGATAAATAGTGAGAACATGACGTCACAAACTGATAACCATTTTGGCAATTTGTGTTGTGATTCTCATTGTTCCATAGTTTTACATACTTTTTCAAAAATTCATAACTTTCTTATTAGTTATCCGATTTTTTGATTGGTTTTTCTGATTTTTGTGCTTTTATTGAAAGTATATTATTTTTCGAGTGGACTTGTCCTTTAAAGTCAATGTTCTTTCTCAACTACAATACAACTAGTGATAAGCAAATCCATCATAATTTAAATATCAAAAGTCTGGGTATATATGTTGTTAATAATATCAAACATGGGATTCATAGAATTCACTGCGGCTAACAATACAGGCTAATATTTAACAGTTTAAACAAAATAACTTTGAGATTATATCACTTTTAAACTGGAAATTTCATCAAAATTATTCTCCTTAAAAATTTATTTACTTCATGGATAGTTTTAACATGACTGATGTCTGCAAAAAGAATATACTGCTTTTCATAAAAAAGCAGAAAAAGTGTAAAGATTGTCATACATGACACTACATAAGGGTATATGAAAAATCTGATGGTTATTTTTCTTTTGTTTTCAGGGGTGATGTTAAGCGTTAACATACAAATATCTTTTGATAAATCCGAAGAAAAGAAAGTGAACAGATTTAAATCAGGTAATTATCAGGCATGTGTTTTGTAATAATCAGCTGCATTTACCTTTAAGTGTTATAGCAATGTAGGATGATCCTGTATTGCGCTCAGCTGATTGTCCTTCTACACTGCACCCACGGCACTTGACAGGATGAATTACAGGAAATGAAGCAACTGAAACAGGCAGAGAAAAAGAGAAATATTATACAAATTAGGCATGCGCATGAGTTCATTATACGATCTATCAGCACTCGAGTTGAGGCTGTGTGTATCTATTGCACGAAGCTTCATTGCTTCATTGTGTCAATGCCAAACCTTTACAATAATCATTCACTGCTACATCCCTGAGGCATAACATACAGATTCAAGAAGTCTTCTCACTGGACTACAATATACATGTAAGCAACCACCAAACTGGAGCAGGTAATTACTATTTCTTTTGGCACACCAAATTTGCAAATATTGGAACCCAATTGCATGCTTCTATTGAACAAAAAAAAAAATTGTTTTTGTTTTAACAATATTGAGAGAACTTTGTCAATCAAGTTTTTACCCAAGTGCAAAAAATTGACTTCAGCTGTGTATTTGAGAGGATCAGTCATTCATTCATTCATCCATTTATTAATTGATCGATTCCTTCCTTTGCTTTTTTGTCGGGGGGGGGGGGGGGTGCAGATTTATCCTGCCTCTGCCTACATAATTTCACTACTAAAAGCAACATGTCATAATAATCTTACAAAGTAGCTTTGAACACACATTTTATATTTGCAGAAGTTAGAACCATTTCAATTAGAGATGTTTATGCCCACCTGTGGGAATTCTACGAAGGAATCCATCTTTCGTAGTTTCTCTGTCGTGGAGAAAGAATTGTAGATGGACGAGTCTATCGCACTCCACACAGAAATACTGCCTACAATCTTTGCAATTAATGATTGCAGGCTCATCTTGGCACTTATAGCAGAGTTTATTTGGCAAGCTCTGCCCTTCAATCATGAACATCATGAGGTCTGCTCTGATGTCCGTCCAGCTGGCATCAAGATCCTCCTGCCTGTCAGCCCAGGAGGACTTGTCTTGTTCCTGGACATCTATGTTTAGAGCCAGCTGGAGATCCATTAGTATGGAAGTCATATCATTCTCTCCTGAACAATGATTTTTTTAAATTTTTTTTGGAGGGGGGGGGGGGGGTAGGGAGAAGAAAAAAATGTACATTAAATATAACTTTTGGAAACAGACATGATAAAAGGTCTATATTCAAAATTAACCAGCTATAATTACAATCTGTAAAATATTTAATCTGACACAGAACTTTATTGTTGCCCCTCAACCTCTACATTGGCAAGTTGAAATGTATATAACTTAACATCCCCTCTCCTTGAGTAATTCATTCCTGCCTGAATTCCAAAGAATTCAAGGAAATTAAAAAAAACTTATTTTTACAGTGGGGCTCTCCGAGTCTCTTTGGCCCCTGAATCTGTATGAATAGCAGGTACTCCATCTTTAATTTAGAATGCCTCCCAAGAAGATCACTCTTTTCAAAGATTCTTGATATCCATTATCCACTTATATGTTTGCAGGAATCATATTTGCTCATCAAACATTTATTTAGTATACAATTCAGGACAAATATTCCAGCTTATTAGGAACCTAGTGCCCAGTAACATCAAGTTTTCTTCTTCTTCTTTTATATTACCTAGAAGGAACAAGAGCTTACGAAATTAAGAAGAAAATGTGATTTCATGTACAGGTTCTTGCTAACCTTTGTCTTTGGTGCCAGCCAGGAAAAGCTTGAAACACCCTTTGGTGGTAAAATGACATGTTAGGTGGCCATATTATCAAAACAGAAGGTATTGATGGCTTGAAAGTAGTTGTGGTGGCCGTTTGCCCTTGGTCCAACACCAATTACAAGGCAGCTGTACGATATAAAGTTTTTTTAAATATTTTTAGCTCATAAAAGATGGGTTGAGGCATGTGGGACGGGGGGGGGGGGGGGGGGGGGGGGGGGGGGGGAGAGATTTGTTTGTTGTTCTTGTTTGTTTGTTTTTTTTGGGGGGGGGGGAGGGTGTTGAAGGGAGCAGTGAAAACATGATACAAAAGTAGAAATGGTAAACTGTCCAATAGAATATGTACCTGTGATGTGTTCTTCAGAATAGAACTCTGTCTGAGGAGCAATATCCTTGGAATAGCCATCTGTTACAATAAAAAGGAGAAAAAAAGAACAATTGGGAGACCAAATTGATAATAAGTTCAGTATCACAAAATATGCCTAGATGTCCTTATTGCAATCAGTAACCTTGCTATGATTGCATAAATTAACAATAATAATGAAAATATTAAAAAATATAACTACAAGGAGAACTAACACTATAAAAATGTGATCAATACCATACCTACCAACATTTGAAAATGAGAATTAAGAATTTTAAGCACGGTATGTCTTCGAAAATAAGAAATCTGTACCCTTAACAGGCGTTCGCACATGCAGCGGCAGTGATACTGGCAATACGCGGTAAATCTGTGCAAAAAAGCGAATACAAATTCGCTGCTCAATCGTGCAGCCCTTCAACGCACGCAATACGTGAACTCTCAAATCGCGTCATATGATAAAACAAGCTTAATTTGGCTTAAGCAACAAAACAAAATAAAACAACAACAAAAATCAAAATAAAAATAAAAATTTTGAAAAAAAGGAATACTCCGGCTTTTGGGGTCCTAAAAATCCAGAAAAACAGAATATTCTGGATAATTCGGAAGGGTTGGCAGGTATGCAATACCCCCCCACAATTGCAGCCTTCATGTCCTCAACCTAATGGCAAGCAATTCTCTCTCAATTTGTGAAAGTAGTTTACAAGTTGCCCTGCAAACACTTCATCAAACACACACAAACTATGTACAGTAATGCACTATTGCACATCAATTCTCATTGATATCACATAAAAACTATGAAATTAGTTGGCCACATAAACTTTCAATTTTATAAAGAGATGTGGTTGACACGGCAATACACTGCCAGCCTACGCATAACTTTTTTTTAAATTATTTTGTTATATAATAAAATTCGGATCATCATGAAAAGTATGTGTTTTAACTTTCATTGCAATCCATAATTTAGAAGTAGTTTGCTTGACACACTTTTTCCAATTTTGTTGGTTTATTAAACTTTGCAAAGACAATGCCATCCCACTGCAAGGACAAATTAAGTCATGGACTTCCATACATCATGTTCATAGTAATCAAGTGGACTTTTAAATAGTACACTACACTATATTATTATCTTTTAGTCAGTACACATTCCTTTCCAAATAACTAACTGCATGTGTACATGTAGATGTGATATGTAGAGCAGTAGGCCCTATCAATGTAAAATTATTGTCAATGATAAAAAGTGGAAGTGGATAACAGTTAATACCTGAACTAGCATCCTTCTTTTTGCCACTGCTCCGCTTCCTTGGTTTGGTTTTGTGATGAATGAGTCCAGTGTATGGATTCCTACGAGGATAGTACCAAACTGTTTCCTTCTTCTTTTCCTTCTTCTTTTTCGGCAACAAGCCTAAATCTGCTTTCAATATTTCATTCTGTTCGTGAAAGTATTTGCTCCAGTCTACTTTTTCAGAAGACTTCTTCTTGGCTTTGACTATGGAGAGGAAAATAAAAAGACAATGTGAACAGTTAACAAAGAAGACATTGTCAGGTGCACATGCATTTATGTAATCACTTCAACTTTTTCTCCAAACTTAATAAGCAACATTTCCAGTCTCTCTTTGTTGTTTTCACAATTTGGTTAAATATAAAATGTAAACTGTGAATTTGTGAAACTGTAAAGTGCAACTTGTCAAATGATCAGAATTGATCATACAAAATCTATGCAGGGCTCGAATTTGGCGGTGGCCCGGGGCCAATGGCCACCTGAAATGGCGTCGGGCCACCTGAAATCACCGACTAGGTGGCCCGGGTGGCCACCAAAAAAATTAAATTAAATTAAAAAAATATTTTTTTTTTTTTTTTTTTTTTTAATGTATCGATGTACTGGGGCCCCGAGGGTTCTAGACGACCTTTTAAACGCATGTAACAATGTCTAGAACCCTCTCAAAAAATCTTGTCCCTAATCAAACTCGGCTGATTTTTTTTTTTTTTTTAACCACAAATTTGCCGATTTTTAAATATCCGGGCCACCTGAAATTCCATTTGGCCACCCAGATCTCCTGCTCAAGTGGCCCTGCTGGCCACCTCGACAAAAAGTTAAGGGCAAGCCCTGCTATGTATTAAATAACAAAAAGTTGATGCAATAAGTGCACATTAAAATTATTATTGCTATTTGGCTATTACTTCCAGTATAATAACAGTTGTCTTTTTACAAGTTTAGGACAATTGGTGATTCATCTCTGATACTAAATTAAGGCATGAAGAAAGTGGTATCCATTAACACCAGATTTTGAATTTTTCTAATACGTGATGCTTTATTTTTCTAATTATTATACACACTATACTGGTGTGACTCACATGATGGGCAGCCAGCATGACTCCCATGGCACACTTAAGGTACTTCTTTGCCAACAGCCATTTCAAGATGTATCTGATGAGTTACCAGTAACTTCATTACAATGATACAATCTAGGCATGATTTTCTTGATTCTCTTTCAGAAACTTTAAGAATTTTTAAAAAGTTATGTTTTTTGTGACTCGCATGACACTTTTTAAGGGTGTTTTTGTAGGGAATAAGATGAAAAAAGCATTGGCAATTGGCAAAATTCTTAGTGTTTTATCGAAATGGACAAAAGAGATACCCTATTATTCATTACCTGTACCTTTGAGCCCCTTTTCAGATAGAAAAGCTCACCTAAATTCTGAAGACCATAACTATCAAATAAAATTGCCTATCAGTATGTGAATAAAATGAATTTTGACATGACATTCTAGCCTTATAGGAACAAGTTGTGATCATATTTTAAGCCTTCTCATTACAAATAGGACAATTACAGAAGGCCATTGCAGAATTTGGCACAAACATTTTTAAAAACTCAACTTTCTTTTTACTTGTTTTTATACAGTGTGAGTATTTTGAAATAAATGACAACATTTTTAGTGTAAACTTTTGTTTGACTCACACAGTATATGGGCATACAAAAATAGAAGCTCTGGACTAAGTTTCATCAGCAAACCAGCCTTTAGACTACAAAGGCTATTCTTGCTTTCTCATCAGCATCCTTATATTTAAAGCCCTATTGCACTACATATATAGCTACTTGCGCCCTCTATATAGCAAACAATGCCTAAACGGTGAACATTGCCCCCCCCCCTTTTTTTCTTATGTTAGAACTTATTTGATGAGATAACCACCTGTCAGTGAAGATGCAAGGAGATCGAATCGCTCCTGGCCAAAATAGTGCAGACAGGCTTTACACAGGGGACTTAATCCCCTCTTGACTTAGTATACAGTAATTTGTTCCTCAATTGGCAGGGTAAACACACAGACAAAAGTCAAGTCTAGTGTCTAACTTTTTTTTGTTGTTGCCTAGTTCAATTTAATTTTACTCCACTTCCTCCTAATCCTCTCCTTATCCTCTTTTCACACAATACCTTCCTGTATGGGCTACTTGTAGCAAGTCATTCACATTTGAAAATTCTTTTGTGCTGTGAAATGTCTCTTGCTCACATGAAGATACCAGTGTTCATATGTCAGTTCTGTGCAAATTTTGTTTCCATTAAAAATATATACTTTTTGTACTTAATTCAGTTATTTATTATGGGTTGTATACTTGTATTATTTCATTTTACTTTTGAGCTTTATGATTTTTATGATTTCTCACATTAAATTGTTTTTCTTCAGTCTTCCTACTAAATGTAAGTGCACTTTCAAAATTGAAGTGTTGTCTAGCAAGTTAAAGTTGCTGGAAGCATACTCTGATTACGTCCATCGGTTCTAATGATAGTGTAATCACAAGCTATTTTTGCATACATGATGAGAAATGTGACCTTTGACCATGTGACCCCAAAATCTAATTAGTTCATTGGCTCTGCAAGATACATACATGACCCAAGTTTGGCAGAAATACACGGATTGGTTCTAGAGAACAGGACTTACAGACAGACAGACAACCCAAAAGTAAAAAAAAGAAGGGAGACTGCTCCTAAGTCAGTGAAGTACTCCTTATGAGCTTTTTGTAATCTATTAACACAAACAAAATCAACCCTCTTAACTTATGAATGATTCCTCTCCTGTTTTCTTACAATCAGGAATTTGATTGTAGAAGAGAGGTCCATTAGGTTATTTTTTACAGCAGAGCTTTAATTTATAGAGGGGGGGGGGGGGGGCTACCCCTGAGTCCACATGAGGGCAAAGTATTTCATATGGAAAATCATTTTTCACTTCATCGTAAGGTTAACTCCTGAAAATTTTGGTTAAAAGTCTAACAGTTAGGTTTAGTGGAGAGGTAACAGCCTTTCTGTACTTATTGGGTAATTATGAATTTAAAGATTATGTCTAGATCTAGCCCTTTTTGCTTGAAATCCAGTAGAATGAGAAGATTTTTTTTTTAATGAGATTAAAACAGTTAGGGGGAAAGATCAGCAACTGAGCCCTCATGAGGGCAAGGTACCTATAAAGGCTATAAACAATTGTAGATTCCCTCCCACCGAGGATAATCTCTATGCTACAAAGTTTTTTTAGAACTGTTTTATGCACGACTGATGACCAACAAGGTACAATGAATGATAGCTATCAAAATACTCAAGTGAGCTTGAAGAAAGAAAATCTTTCACTCTTTATCTAAGCATTTATGAAATACCTTACCTTTTGGCATAGTGATGAAAATCTGTTGTTATTGATTAGCCTTTCACTTTCAGTTCATTTCTGTAGATTGAGAAAAGTAAAAATCAAACGACTTAAAATACATTAATAAACATTAGTACACATTTCATGTACATTTGATTTGACTGCAGTCAAACTGTAGCAAATCATGTCATGGTCTGTACTCTTAGAAAACATTTATTGGTAGATCGAGATCTTTTTGAAATTTAACAGTTGCTGATCACAGTTACAGGCCATCTCACCAAAGAATGGTGGTAACAACCCAAGCAAGAACCAACAGGTGTAGGTCTAGATCTAGGCCTTATAATAGAGAAAGAAGAAAAAAGTAGAAAGATGAAATAGAAGAAATTAATTGGAAAAGTTAAAAAGTTGACAGCCCGACCCCTGCCAACAGGTGCCTCTCTGTCATGCCCAGTTTAATACTGACAAGTCTCTACTACTGCTAGTATTACTACTACTACTACTACTAGTAGGGTGTCTGAAATTCACATATTTTCAATTTGGGATCGTTTTTCACCATTTTTGTTGGATATTTGAATGAAAAGTGTAATCAGGATAATACATTTAAAATTTTAAGACTCACTGATGTTTCTATTACAAGATACAACCCCTCAAAAACTCTGCAAAATTCATAGCATTTTGGTCAGAATGAACAAAAAAGTGGGTCACGCAGAGTGAAAAATTTTGCTCAACAGCTGCATTCTAATTCTAATGCATTATAAGGCGATTTGCAAAAAATGGGGGAAGGGTATTTTCAAACTATGTGATCCACTTGGGGCTAGCGGGTGGTTGCAGAAAAATAAGCACATCAACATATTCCTTACTAGACTACTTGAACTAATTATCCCTCGGGGGGTCGATCCCCAAATTGGGAAATCTCCAAGTTACCATGGAAACAACATTTAAATTGCTGTTTTGACAGAGATAGCCTAGATCTAGATCTATCTTTATAATTCCGAAATGACACCCCTTTGGAAATATGGGGATTATGGTGCCATATGAAAGGGCAGATTAATTCCCATATTTCCAGAGGGGGGTCATTTCAAATTTCTAAAAATATCTTGGTCAAAACAGCGATCTAAATGTGTTTCCATGGCAACTCGGGAGATTTCCAACTTTTGAGAATTGACCCCCCCCCCCCCGAGAGATACATGTATAGATCTATGTTGATGTTCTTTTTTTTTCGCTAGCCCCAATGGATCACGTGACGTAGGATTTAAGTTTGAAAATACCCTTCCTCTGTCTTAATTTGCATATCTAGAATCTAGATATAGGGTCTAGACGGTCTAGACTAGCCTAATGCATTAGAAATAGAATGCAGCTGTTGAACAAAAAATGATAACTCGGCGTGAACCACTTTTTTGTCCATTCTGACCAAAATGCTATGAATAGGTCTAGATCTAGATCTAGAGTCTAGAGAGGTCTTCATCTAAGGGATAGAGCAACGTCGATCTGGCGCTGCTCAGTGGCTGCCGGGCTCACGATCAATTGGGCAAAAAGAATTTCTGTTTCGGTTAAATAAAATTTGGAGTGGACTATTAGGCTATTATTATTATTACTAGCAGGACCCGCGGAAATCCGCGGGATTCTAGAGGGGGGGGGGGGGGGGCGGGGGGTGTAAATAGATATATAGAGACTGTCTAAATTAAAACCACCAAGAACTTTATTTGCCATTCAGGCCATTATAAAAATATACATGTTTAGCGTCCCCGCCCGCTTCCTTTTTGGGGGCCGCCTCCTATTTTTTTTTTTTTTTTTAAACAGCTTCCCCGCCCGCTTCCTTTATGGGGGCCGCCTATTTTTTTTTTTTTGAAATTTTTTTTTTTTTTTTTGATAGAAAAAAACAGCGTCCCCACCCGCTTCCTTTTTGGGGGCCGCCTCTCCTATTTTTTTTTTTTTTTTTGAATATTTTTTTGAATTTTTTTGAATTTTTTTTTTTAAAGAAAAAAAACATGAAAAGCACTGCTAAAATGTATTTCTGATTTTAAAAAAGAAAAAAAAAATTGTCGGTCGCCATCTTGAAAAATAGCCTGAATGTCAGGGAAAATGTACGGAGCAGCCATTTGAAAGGAAAAAAAAAAAAAAGGGCCTCCTCCTTCCCATTTTTCGAAAAAACAGGACGCTAAACATGTTTTTTTTTAAATTTGGCCTTATATAAAAAAATAAAAAAAGAACGATCCAACTGTACCGGTAGTTATTCTTTAAGCCACTGGAACTGCGTAGAGTTACGTAGTGTGGGAAATTAGGCTGCGTATTAATGGGAAAATAGTCCCTGCGTAGGTTATGCGTAGGCTGGCGTACAGGTTTGCTTATATGGTTGCTTACTGTGTGGAAAGCTTTTACTGCTTTGACGATCTGGCGTAGGGTAGCGTAGTGTTGCGTAAAAAGGCGTACTTTCTGCGTCAAGTTTCTACGCTGAAAGTACGCGAAAAAAATTAAACATGTTGAATTGTTTTCGTTCATCTTGCGTACCAAATTCTGTCCCTCAGCATATAGTAACGTAGGCCAGCGTAGTTAGCAACACTATGCAACTCTACGTATTGACCCCACGCCAATTATTGACCCGCAAGTGTCACAAATAAAGTATTAAAAATATGCTCATCTGACCCTAATTAAACGTCTAAAAACCCCGAGCTTTCGGGGGTTTATGGCCCCTTGAAACCCGTGGACCCCACGCCTATATTGTATATACACTCAACTCGCTGCGATCTGATCTCTCCCCCCCCCCCCCCCCCCCAAACTTTGAAGAACGTAACCCCCAAGCTTTTGGGGGTTTATGGCCCCTTGAAACAAATATACACTCAACTCAGGGTTTCAGGTTTCCTTCTTCATAATTGCCTATTTAAAAAAAACATTTTTCTAGTTCAATAACTAAGTTTTCATGCATTGATTTGATGCAAGAACTGTAACATAATAGACCCTAGATTGTGATTATTTCTGACCATGAATTTCGATAATTATTTTTCAAAGTAAAATTTTCACAAGTAAATCAGACAGTCGTTTAAAAACGTAGACATTAGTAAAACTTTTACTAATTCTAAGCTCAGGTTTCGTAAATCTATTCACGAAACTATATTGAAATCGCGGCAATAATGATGCAAACCAACAGATAACAATTTCAAAATGTCAAATCTCTTCGACTCAGCTCAGGTGAACTCACACACACTACAGCGTAACTCCAGAGCTCGAACACCGGCGCCGCAGGCGTCGGACGCCTACGGTGCGCGGTGCCGGTTAGGAGCTTCCTGCAAGCTCATTTCAACTCACACACCGCACACAGCAGCATTGCACTGTGTGTTGACTGAAGGCAGCTTGCGATTGAATTGTCAGTCCAATGGTTTTCTTGTGAAAACTTTCCTTTAGAAAATGATAATCAAAATTTAGTTAGCATGGCCGTAATAATCACAAAATAAGCTTTTATTTCATACCTCCATTCACGAAAACTATATACAAATCGCGGCATTCATGACGGAAATGGGTCTCTAAGTTTGGACGTCGACGGGAAGCCCCGTGTAGCGCTACTACAATGGATATCCTATAGAAAGATGCTTTACTCGGGTAATCCCGACCCTGTCCATCGTGCATTTAATACGCAACTTAATGTGAGTGGATGGTCATCGGTCGTGTGTCTACGGATGCAATGTTGAATATCCATGAGGTATCTCTGTCGTCACGCATATCCTGCATTATGCATGTCGCGTCTGTTTTCGCCCTGGACGTCGACACGGAGGAGGACCTCGGGCGGAGTATAGCCAATTCGCTAGAGTAGACTCTCCCGCGGACGACGGCACCGGTCACCGGTACCCCGAGGGGAGGGTTCAGGAGGAGATAGCTGCACCAACTTGGGTCGGCGATCTCATTAAAAAACAATAGAATACAAAGGCCGGCGGAGACGTCATGCCCCCCGCGGAGCCTTAGCGTATTACTATTATAGATTATTATATTATTATCTAGATCTAGATCTAGATCTATTGCAGAGTGTTTGAGGGGCTGTATCTTTTGATAGAAACATCAGTCATTCAGTGAGTCTTGAAATTTAAACTGTAGAACTAGTCTAGTTTACAGCCTTTATTAATAGGCCCATCCTCATCTCCATGCACGCATTATCCCCTTTACTCTTTACTTGTCTTTAGCTTTGATGAATCATGAATGAGTGAATCTTGCCCATGGCCATGCATCATCATGACTTTTGATTGTCATGAGATGACGCTCTAGATCTACTTTCTAACTGACGAAGAATAATCACGGTTAGCCTATATATTAGACCTCGGCTCTAGGCCTAGATTATTACAAGTTAAATAATAACAACCCTTCGATCAACCTTTTTTGAGACTGAGCGATCGATAAAGAAAAATGGAAAATGATTCTGAACTTACCTAAATGGCATTGCGACATCATTGTTGCTTCAAATTAGATCTAAGTAAGACACTGAATTTCCCGATGCGATGCGAAACGTGGTGCAAGTATGGTGCAGGGCCCGCCGAGGGCGGCGCGCGCGAAATTTTGTGGGAAAATAGTCTATGTCACAGACAAGGAATTTATTTCATTTCTATTTCATAAAAATCAATAATAATATAGTCTAGACTAGATCTATTACACACTACCTGGCTGTAAATTCCTCATATTACTATAATTGATGTATTTTCTTCTCTTTATGAACGTAACCAAAGTCTAAATTTAATATTTTAATTGATGTAGAATCTAGACCTAGACCCTAGTCTAGTAGAGAGCCTAGACTCTTCTCTATATTCCTGGCGCTTGTACTTTATCCGATGGGGGGGGGGGGGGGTAACATATAGTGTATATGATACACTACAAATAGATCTATTAGGGTTTGATATGAATTCTAATAAAGAAAATTACTTAAACTATACAAACAAATGAATGATGACTGTGGAGGGGTGGGTGCAGGCTCAGATCAGCAACCAAGAGCACCGGGTAGCAACCCCGTGGGTGCGGCCTGGGTGGGGGCCATAATGCAGCCCTTATTGCCGTTATTATTGTTATTACTACCATTATTGACATAATTGTTGTTGCCGGTGGTGTAGTGATGAGCGTGTGTGTAATTATGTGCATGTGTGTGAGTGTGTGTGCGTGTGTGCGTGTGAAACGTGGCGCGGGGTGGGGGGGGGGGGGGTGGCGAAGTGTCAACATGTTAAACAGTAGCAATACTTGAACCTGAAGCTAGCACCTAAATCTACGTACAAAATATTTACACCGCGCCGCCGCAAGATGGCGATATTTCATACAGCCCGCTATTTTAGGCAATATGCCTGATATAAGACGGTTTGGTACATTAGGTATATTGCCTAATTTAAGAAGGAGGCCAGGTTGTCCAAGCAATACTGTAGATCTAGTACTAGTTCAGAATCATATCCAGACTTTTTGACCAGTGACCCTCAACTCTGGCGTGGAGATAGTACTAAAAATCTAAAACATACCCCAAATCAAGCAAATATTCATGAAATGTTAATTCAAATAATGCCGGTCATGATTTAAAAGTCGTTATGTTTCTAACCTGTTTCTGGTCAATTTTCTTATTTCGGGGGGAGTATTTTTCGGAAAAACGTCGATATTAGTATACACTCTCTCACAGGTTGCACGGCAAACCGCTGCACAATACAAGTGCATACCGATGGAGGGTTGCGGGGGCACGTAAGTCTGTGTGTCTTGTGAAGTTATCTACCTCCTCATTATACAGTAGATAACTTCACACAGGCATGCGCCCGCCCGCAACCACCATCAGTATGCACTTGTAATGTGCAGTGGTTTGCAGTGAAACCTGTGAGAAAGTGGACTACCGGCCCGGGCCCAGATGTCTGGAAATTGAGCATTGCGTGTCGATGCGTAGAGGAATAAAGCAGTGTCTTGTGTCACAGTCACATACATGTAACTTTAAACAAGGCATTTCTATAGTCTTTAGACAGCAAATTTATCTTATAGGCTACCGTATACATGCAGAAATCTTTATCTGGAAATAATAGACCCGTAAATGGTAAACAAAATTCTTTCCCCACAGGCTGTTCAAAGAAGTTTGTAGTATATGTGTTGCACATGCATACATTTATCAACCATTCATTTTGTTTTAACTTTATTTATTTTCTCATTAATTGTAGGCATCCTTTGTTAACATATCTCGTCAAAGCAGTGGATTCAAAGCACATTGTGGCCTCAGTATATTGATGTGAAACCATGCAGAAAATGCTACTCTCTCGAAACCTTGTGGATGTTCCCTAAGGATCAGCAGCCTCTTGAAACAGTTGAAGTCATTATCGGTAAATAAATGTGTACATGTAATTGTATTATTTTTGTACATTTATTTGTCATATTATGCATGATCACTGACAGACACTGAGACTCTGACTAATTAGACACTACAGAATGGATCATTTCATTTGAAAGGCTTATTTGTCCTAATTTTCAATTATATATTTTATAATTCAATTAATTTTAGATCACTAAAACCTGCAGGTATGTTGCAATAACCGACAATATTTTGTGAGTTTGAAACAGTGTTTTTTTACCCTTCAGCATGGGTCAAGGAGCTTTCATTCAACCCTCTTCAGCAAACTACAGGAATGCCAGTTTTCAGGCAATAGCCTGAATTCAGGCCCTGGCGAGTTATTTTCATACCATAGTTTAGGTTTTTTGTGTACAAGCTACCTCATTCATTCTAGGTGATTTGTCAGGCCCTCTGATCAATTCTAACTGGCATCCCTGAAACTAGAATTGTATTGATAATTTACCAAACAAAATCGTGAATCACGTTTTGCATTGCCCACAAATGTTTAAAATCCAAAGGTGTGTTGACTTTATGTTTGTGAGCAATAAGAAATTATTTCTGATAAATCTTACCAAGCAGTGCTTTTCTAAAAGAATTCATTGTTTACATTCCAGTTTTAAAATATGTGAAAGTTTTTCTTAAATTGTATTTCTTTCTTTTTGCTTTATTCATGCATTAGAATTCCTTGCGTCTATATATGTTCCCTGGATCTGAAAGCAGTGCATAATGCAGGAGATTCTACCCAAAAGCTAACCCACTGAGCAGCGCCAGATTGACGTTGCTCTATCCCTTATTGTTGAACGCCAAACAAGGTAGCAGCAACTCCCGTCTTTTAACGTCTTTTGGTATGACGCGGCCCGGGCTCGAACCCACGACCTCCCGGTTGTGAGGTGGACGCTCTACTGACTGAGCCAACAAACCGGTCTAAGTTGGTAATAGAGAAAATTGAGTGAGGTAAATGCAATACAATTCGATTCCATTATTAAGCAATTAAGACCTGAAGTTCGTGAACCTCCAACAAATTTAAAAAATGATGCAGTTTGGTTTTATGTGTAAAGTGAATGGAAACAAAGGACCTACCGGTATGTGTCTTTGTATGTTTTGGACTGCGCGTATTCAGTGAGCTCTTTTTGATAATATACACTATGTAAAGCATATTGAACTCTATGTCAACATAAAAAACTATGTGATTTTGACTGTTTTGCAGCAATCATGTCTGAACGAGCCTTAAAGTGACTTGGTAACATTGTTCAGATGAGAGAAAATGGTGCTATTAAAGGTATTGCCTTCAATGCTATATGTACACTTAAAAATAATCTGAAAGTTTGAGTGAAAAAAGACCATTATTGATGATAAAAATTGAAAACAAAATTTCTGATCTGATCGATTCCTTAATCCTGCCAACTATATTATTATAATTTATTTAAATTTTAGGTGAATGTAAATCGTCACAAAGCAAAGAATTGGCTCTTATATTTTAGAGTTTTAAAGGCCTGTTTTATATCTTATTTTCAGGAAAAAAACGGTTGGGAAAAATTCAAAAATATGTTGGGAGAATTAAGTGTTAAAGAGTGACACACAGTGGCGCCTTCAAAGAAAACCATAAATATCTTTGTGGTTTGAGAATTTTTTGGTAATTAAAAGTATACAATTCTTGGATTGTATCTGTGATTTTGAAAGCACAATATGGCTTACCTATATTGAATTTGCTGTAAAAATTTAAGTTAAATTTTATTTTTTTGTGAAACTCCCCCAGGAGTATAAACTTGCCAAATGAATGTTGTGACATTAGCAATGGAATATATCTCTTTGTGCTAAACTTTTTAAGCATGTTTGCTATTTTATCTTAAACTTGGAAATATCTTCCGAATAATTATTGCACAGTCACCTTGAAATTGCCCAACAGAGCTAATCGTACTGGCGGGAATGTTTTTTGATAGAAATTGTATTTTTATACTTGAACTTCAGCTTCTGTATTTGCAACAAAATGTTTTTTGATGATATTTATAAGTATGAATGTTGCCACTAATGCCTTTTTTGTGTTTAAGTCATGTGCCAGTAAGAAGCAGGTTTCTATAGCACAGAGAATAGGTATAGTTGAGCTGATTTCTGCACAGTTTTCCAATATGCTGTATCGCCAAATGTGAACATCGTGGTTTCAACAGGCAAGCAACCATCATCAGAAAACTCTGCAGGTATCAGTCAAGCTCTCCCTGTTCCCCTTGCTGTCAACTTGTTCCTTTTGAGTGTAAGAAATAACTTAGCTAAGCCATGTGTTTATCATTTGTGCCATTTTTCTCTTGTGTGTGATTTAGATTGTATAGTTTTATACTTTATACTGAATTCTTGCCATAAAATTAGATATTCCCCTTGTAATTTTTTTATCTTTCATGTTCAGGAATTGTTTCCAACAACCTTTTGTTTTATGTGATAGTCTTTATCTGCACTAAAGTCTTGGGGTGGTTGTGAGGAGCAGTTTTGCAGCGTGGAGACGAGGTAGAGCTGCACTGATGAATGCCCAGCTTTCCACTATGCTGTTTTGCTGAATATGAGGAACTTCCCCAGTCTGCTGTTTGCTTGTCTTCTAAACAACTGCGGGTATCAGTGTAGCTTTACCTAGTCTCCATGCTGCTAACCTGCTTCTCACAACCGCAAGACTTATAAGTTAAGCCAATTCATGTTTTAGTTTCTTGTAACAGAATGAAATCTGAAATGAAGCAGCACAATTTATAACAACACAAATATCTTTGTGATGGCCTGTTAACTTTCTTAAAATCAATTATGAGACTGACAGAAATACACTAGGTATTTATACAGCATGTTTTGGAAGAAGTGTCAGGATGGTGATGGAAAGATTCTGTATGTATAGAAGACAAGTTAGATAGAAGAAGAAGGTATACAAATAAGTATTCTATATTTTTGTTATCCATTTTCATACCATATACATGTACATTAAAAATATGAAAATTACTTTCTGTCTGGCATGTCTATATATTATGTGATGCAATATTTGTTGCTTTGTTTTTACTGTGTGAATGTTTAAAATGTGTTCATGAAGTGACTTTTACACTTTCTTCCTTGATCAGGTGGTCATATAGGTGTCATTTAGAGGACAAAAAAGACGTAAAGATCATGTAAGGATAAAAGGTACATCGAAATGACCAGTAAGATGTAAATATCACGTCAAAATTTGATGTCCATACAACGTATACACGACGTCTGGACGACGTCTTTCTTGGACTAATAAGACGTAAATATAATGTCAAATTACGACGTCTATACTACAAAATATGATGTCCATATGACGTCTTCACGATGTCTTCCATGGTACAAGTTGACGTCTTAAAGACGTCTTTCTTTAACTAATAAGACGTAAAAATCGCGTCAAAATATGACGTCCTCACGTCGACGTACGCGGGTGCAAAATCGTGTCTTTTTGACGTCGTGTTATATCGTCTTAAAG